GAGAGAGAGAGAGAGAGAGAGAGAGAGAGAGAGAGAGAGAGAGAGAGCTGACGTAGGTAACAGCTCTCAGCTTGTTAATAAAGTTAGGAATCCTTAACTTGCAAATAGCTCGTCAATAAAACTAAGGATCCTTAACCTAACCTTGTCAAACCCTGTGTAAAAGAGAGGGAGAGAGAGAGAGAGACAAGGTAAACGAGAGAGAGAATAATATAACAGGGGAAACAGAAAGAAGCAATATTGCAGGACAGCCTATAAGGCTGAAACTGTAAACAAATTAAGAAAATTCCCGACCAATTTTACCTATTCGGCACGACATATTTGTGCTGAATAGGTAAAATTGGTCAATTATCAAGAACAAATTTAAAATTAAGTCCTTACTAAAATTTTCTCCTATACTTTCAAAGATATTTTTCATTTATGTTAATGTAAAAATTAATAAATTTGTACCAAAAGAACCTTAGGAAACTTACCTAATAAACACAATGAAATATATTTTTTCGTTAGGTTCAGAATGATTTTTTGCGAAATTATTGCATACGCAAATTTTCGCTTGCCTTATTCGGCAAGAAGAACGTCGCTATTTAAGCCAAAATCGTAAGTTTTACCTATTCGGCACGACATACACATTTTATATATTATATATATATATATATATATATATATATATATATATATATATATATATATTATATATATATGGGATCTTCTTTAGGTGCAGGTGTGGGGGGGGGGACCAATGGTCTTGGAGAATTAAAGGCTTTAAGGCAAATACTGAGATTTCTCCTTGAGGTTGCTTACATATTCCACGTCTCGCATCACCACCAAGAACGTTTCCCTTCAAGAAGGAAGGGATGGGTGGGGCCATGATGGTGGTCAGAGGAACAGGTAGAGGCAAGCCCCTCCCTTCCTCTCACCAAACCTGATTATCTACAGGATTTTCCCTTCCCCATGAATAAAAAAAATAGGAATTTCAATCCCCCCCCCAAAAAAAAAACAGCCATACAGTATTCACTGTATTGAAGATCCCCTAAAAATGTAATCAAATTTAGTTCCCCCCCAAAAAAAAAATTAGTTCCCCCCCCAAAAAAAAGTGACAAGTGTTTTAATGGCACTAGCGAATGAGCGTTTTGTTGATCCTCTCATAAAATGCTGGACCAGTGTCCCACGCTCGGAATTAATGGATACTTGTAACCCACGGACAAAGGGGGTATCCAGCCTGGTAAATACTGGTAATTTCGGTAAGCCGGTTGATAGCAGAGTGTAATAGTGATCATGTGTTGCTAGTGCGCACGCACGCGCACGCACACACACACACACACACACACACACACACACACACACACACACACACACACACACAGTAACAAGGGGACACAGTTGGAAGTTGAAGACACAGATGAATCACGGGGATGTTAGGAAGTATTTCTTCAGCCACAGAGTAGTCAGGAAGTGGAATAGTTTGGGAAGCGATGTAGTGGAGGCAGGATCCATACATAGCTTTAAGCAGAGGTATGATACAGCTCACGGTTCAGGGAGAGTGACCTAATAGCGACCAGTGAAGAGGCGGGGCCAGGAGCTTCGACTTGACCCCTGCAACCTCAACTAGGCGAGTACACACACACACACGATAAGGCTCTTGCAGCAGGGAGAGTGGACCTAGTGGCGACTAGCGAAGAGGCGGTGGAGCCAGGAGTTGTGACTCGACCCCTATGTAGACTGCTGTACACCCTATGTAGACTGCTGTACACCCTATGTAGACTGCTGTACACCCTATGTAGACTGCTGTACACCCTATGTAGACTGCTGTACACCCTATGTAGACTGCTGTACACCCTATGTAGACTGCTGTACACCCTATGTAGACTGCTGTACACCCTATGTAGACTGCTGTACACCCTATGTAGAATGTTGTACAACCGGTGTAAAATACCAAGTCTAGAGTGTACACTGCTGGTGTGTAACTCTGGTCTGCCAATACTTTAAGTCGACCAGAAAAGTTCAGAGGCTGGCAACCAGAAAGTTCCACAAGGCTGTACGAACGACTGCACGAGCGACTGCATGAACGGATGTACGAACGACTGGACGAACGACTGCATGAACGGCTGTACGGAAGGCTGTACGAACGACTGCACGAACGACTGTACGAGCAACTGCATGAACGGCTGTACGAAGGGCTGTACGAACGACTGCACGAGCGACTGCATGAACGGCTGTACGAACGACTGCATGAACGTCTGTACGAAGGGCTGTATGAACGACTGTATGAATGGCTGTATGAACATTTGTACGAACGACTGCACGACCGTGTGAACATGAACGGCTGTACGAACGACTATAACAACGACTACAACGACTGTACGAATTAAATCTGGCCACAAGGGATGAAAACTCATCAAGAAGCGACATTTCCAGAATAAAAGACACTGAACGTTTCGCCCAACGTTGGGACTTTTATCACTTCTAGAATGAAACACTTTGTCCAACATTTCGAAATCTTTACTGATGCAACTTTCTTTTGCCGTAAAGTTTACTCCTAGTGCCTCCTGTATAATCCTACGGGTTTAACGCTTCACCCTTGATTATAATATTAATAAATCCCAGTGCCTCATTCTTCAACTTTTCGGTTTTCAAAACCATTTTAATACCATACATACATACATACACCACGGCACAGAAAACAACATAGGGGTGGGAGAAACGTGGGAGCCAGACGAACCTTGGCGCTTGGCGATGACGCAGTAGAAGCTATAATCGCATCAGCTAAATCACAGTTATTCGGAAATTCGGAAAAAAGCTGGCCCAGGAACCGAGCTCAACCCAGGGTAAACGGCTAACTTGCACAAGATACCAGTGTCACAGAAGATGTTTTCTTAGGGGTAAAACGTGACGTCAAATGCTGACATTGTTGGCCAGTCCAGACAAGAATTTATAGGGAAATTGTCAGCAAGAAAGCAGCAGTAATAGCAGCAACAGGAGCAGCAACAGTAGCAGCAGTAATAGCAGCAACAGTAGCAGCAGTAATAGCAGCAACAGTAGCAGCAGTAATAGCAGCAACAGTAGCAGCAGTAATAGCAGCAACAGAAGCAGCAACAACAGCAGAAGCAACAACAGAAGCAGAAGCAACAACAGAAGCAGCAGCAGCTGCAGGCAGCTGGAGCTTCCAGCCAGCTGCACCACCACCTACCATATCTTTAATAAACGAGACATTAATAGAACGAACTGGGCGGCATTCACCAGGCTTCTCGTTAGCGCTTCGCGAGGACTCTCCGGAATACAATACCCCTGGGCCATATAAACTAAAAAAAAATATTAGACGTCGATGACTCGCTCGAGAGAAAAAAAAACGCTTCTCTTTTTTTTCTCCATTATAAATAAAAATAACATAGCTAGTCGCTTGCTCGATCTTACTTCCGCATTCTTTATAGGCGACGGATTAACAGCAACACCTAGTTAAACAGAAAACTTAAATAGGTTTCTTTACAATATATTTCGTAAATGTATAGGTGTCTTAAGTCTTGAAGAAAAGAAAGCTGGTGTCTTCCTGAAGAAGAGAAAGTAGGTGTCTTCCTGAAGAAGAGAAAGTAGGTGTCTTCCTGAAGAAGAGAAAGTAGGTGTCTTCCTGAAGAAGAGAAAGTAGGTGTCTTCCTGAAGAAGAGAAAGTAGGTGTCTTCCTGAAAAAGGGGAAAGTGGGGTGTTTCCTGAAAAAGGAAAGTAGGTGTCTTCCTGAAAAAGAGAAAGTAGGTGTCTTCCTGAAAAAGAGAAAGTAGGTGTCTTCCTGAAGAAGAGAAAGTAGGTGTCTTCCTGAAGAAGAGAAAGTAGGTGTCTTCCTGAAAAAGAGAAAGTAGGTGTCTTCCTGAAAAAGAGAAAGTAGGTGTCTTCCTGAAAAAGGAAAGTAGGTGTTTTCCTGAAAAAGAGAAAGTAGGTGTCTTCTTGAAAAAGAGAAAGTAGGTGTCTTCCTGAAAAAGAGAAAGTAGGTGTCTTCCTGAATGCAGACAGTAATATGAGTGGGTAATGAAGACAGTAATATGAGTGGATAATGCAGACAGTAATATGAGTGGGTAATGAAGACAGTAAATATGAGTGGGTAATGAAGACAGTAATATGAGTGGATAATGCAGACAGTAATATGAGTGGATAATGCAGACAGTAATATGAGTGGGTAATGCAGACAGTAATATGAGTGGATAATGCAGACAGTAATATGAGTGGATAATGCAGACAGTAATATGAGTGGATAATGCAGACAGTAATATGAGTGGATAATGCAGACAGTAATATGAGTGGATAATGCAGACAGTAATATGAGTGGATAATGCAGACAGTAATATGAGTGGGTAATGCAGACAGTAATATGAGTGGATAATGCAGACAGTAATATGAGTGGGTAATGCGGGACAGAAATTTATGAGTGGATAATGCAGACAGTAATATGAGTGGGTAATGCAGACAGTAATATGAGTGGATAAGGGCAGACAGTAATATGAGTGGGATAATGCAGACAGTAATATGAGTGGATAATGCAGACAGTAATATGAGTGGATAATGCAGACAGTAATTTGAGTGGGTAATGCGGGACATTTAATATGAGTGGGTAATGCAGACAGTAATATGAGTGGATAATGCAGACAGTAATATGAGTGGGTAATGCAGACAGTAATATGAGTGGATAATGCAGACAGTAATATGAGTGGATAATGCAGACAGTAATATGAGTGGGTAATGCAGACAGTAATATGAGTGGATAATGCAGACAGTAATATGAGTGGATAATGCAGACAGTAATATGACTGGGTAATGCAGACAGTAATAAGCAGGAGTGGATTTTTTTTTTTTTTTTGGGGGGGGGGTTTACCCTGCCTCGGTGGGAGACGGCCGACTTGTTAAAAAAAATTATATATAATTATATATATATATATATGTTGAGCTTGATAGAGCTCCATACTTCAAGTTTCCAGCTCTATCTCCACCACTTGCAACTCTCTCTCTCTCTCAGCTCTAACTTAAATACATAAAAAATATTTTTATTAATTACAACAAAATGAATTTTAAGATATATTTGTTTTTGTTAATTTTAAAAGGCATCTATGATGGTGCTTTCAGAGGTCACCCTCGTGGTCGTGGCCTCCAGGGTCATATTGACGGAGGAGGTCACCCTCGAGGCCTTCAAGGTTATATTGCTGGAGGTCACCCTCGTGGTCGTCGCCTCCAGGGTGATATTGACGGAGGTGGTCACCCTCATGGCCTTCAAGGTTATATTGCTGGAGGTCACCCTCGTGGCCGTGGCCTCCAGGGTGATATTGACGGAGGTGGTCACCCTCGTGGCCTTCAAGGTTATATTGCTGGAGGTCACCCTCGTGGTCGTGGCCTCCAGGGTGATATTGACGGAGGAGGTCACCCTCGTGGCCTTCAAGGTTATATTGCTGGAGGTCACCCTCGTGGCTTTCTACCTGGGGATCTACCTCGTGGACTCCAGGGTGCTGCTGCTGGAGGTGTCCCTCGTGGACTCCAGGGTGCTGCTGCTGGAGGTGTCCCTCGTGGACTCCAGGGTGCTGCTGCTGGAGGTGTCCCTCGTGGACTCCAGGGTGCTGCTGCTGGAGGTGTCCCTCGTGGACTCCAGGGTGCTGCTGCTGGAGGTCACTCTCGTGGACTCGAGGGTGCTGCTGCTGGAGGTCACTCTCGTGGACTCCAGGGTGCTGCTGCTGGAGGTCACTCTCGTGGACTCCAGGGTGCTGCTGCTGGAGGTCACTCTCGTGGACTCCAGGGTGCTGCTGCTGCTGCTGGAGATCTCTCTCGTGGACTCCAGGGTGCTGCTGCTGGAGATCTCTCTCGTGGACTCCAGGGTGCTGCTGCTGGAGATCTCTCTCGTGGACTCCAGGGTGCTGCTGCTGGAGATCTCTCTCGTGGACTCCAGGTGCTGCTGTGGGATCTCTCTCGTGGACTCCAGGGTGCTGCTGCTGGAGATCTCTCTCGTGGACTCCTGGGTGCTGCTGCTGGAGGTCACTCTCGTGGACTCCAGGGTGCTGCTTGCTGCTGGAGATCTCTCTCGTGGACTCCTGGGTGCTGCTGCTGGAGATCTCTCTCGTGGACTCCAGGGTGCTGCTGCTGAAGATCTATCTCGTGGACTCCAGGGTGTTCCTGCTGGAGGTGTCCCTAGTGGTCAGCCTGGTACTGTGGTAAGGGATGAATATCATTATGATACCATGGTTCAAGGTGCAGACCACCGTCCGTATCAGTACCAGAGTAGCAGCTTAGAAGTCCTAGAACGGTGGGACAAGCTGTTACAAGATTCAGCCTGGGACGAGCTATCAGATGATTCAGACTGGGACGAGCTATCAGATGATTCAGACTGGGACGAGCTATCGATGATTCAGACTGGGATGAGCTATCAGATGATTCAGACTGGGACGAGCTATCAGATGATTCAGACTGGGACGAGCTATCAGATGATTCAGACTGGGACGAGCTATCAGATGATTCAGACTGGGACGAGCTATCAGATGATTCAGACTGGGACGAGCTATCAGATGATTCAGACTGGGACGAGCTATCAGATGATTCAGACTTGGACGAGCTATCAGATGATTCAGACTGGGACGAGCTAGTATTAGATGATACAGACTGGAATGAGCTAGTATTAGATGATTCAGACTGGGATGAGCTAGTATTAGATGATTCAGACTGGGATGAGCTAGTATTAGATGATTCAGACTGGGATGATGAGCTATCAGATGATTCAGACTGGGATGATGAGCTATCAGACAGCGATGATGAGCGATTAGGTGATTCAGACTGGGATGAGGAGCTATCAGATGATTCAGACTGGGATGATGAGCTCTCAGGTGATTCAGACAGCGATGATGAGCTCTCAGGTGATTCAGACAGCGATGATGAGCTCTCAGGTGATTCAGACAGCGATGATGAGCTCTCAGGTGATTCAGACAGCGATGATGAGATCTCAGGTGATTCAGACAGCGATGATGAGCTCTCAGGTGTTTTCAGACAGCGATGTGAGCTCTCAGGTGATTCAGACAGCTATGATGAGCTCTCAGGTGATTCAGACAGCGATGGTGAGCTCTCAGGTGATTCAGACAGCGATGACGAGCTCTCAGGTGATTCAGACAGCGATGACGAGCTCTCAGGTGATTCAGACAGCGATGACGAGCTTCAGGTGATTCGGGACAGCGATGATGAGCTCTCAGGTGATTCAGACAGCGATGATGAGCTCTCAGATGATTCAGACAGCGATGATGAGCTCTCAGATGATTCAGACAGCGATGATGAGCTCTCAGGTGATTCAGACAGCGATGATGAGCTCTCAGGTTGATTCAGACAGCGATGATGAGCTCTAGGTGATTCAGACAGCGATGATGAGCTCTCAGGTGATTCAGACAGCGATGATGAGCTCTCAGGTGATTCAGACAGCGATGATGAGCTTTCAGGTGATTCAGACAGCGATGATGAGCTTTCAGGTGATTCAGACAGCGATGATGACTCATCGGACGACGATTCATCTGATGAGTTATCGGAGTCTCTCTCGTACGATAAGGAAAGCTTGGATAAAATTGAAAATACCATACAACAGTGTGAAAGCCGCACCGGAATTCTGAGGAAGGTGGAAAATGATCTATTCGAGTGCAGACGAGAGGGACATGTGCAGAAAGTGAGGAATGCTGAGTTGCTTGCTGATCTGGTGGACCTCAAGTTCCTCGTTAAAGAACTGCAAGATGAGATCGTTGGCTAGAAAACCAAATGTACGAGATGGATCAGAATACAGTACCTCAATGTCCCCACTCTGCTGCTCTGGATAAACACGAAGTGTGTATCGGCCATGTAAAAAAATGTCGACATCACCTGGTGAACACTCTTCAAGGGACCCTGAAGAAGGAAAATTTCCGATTCCATATGGATCAACTTAACGAGGACTACAAGAGAAATGCTGAGTTGCATGCTGATCTGGTGGACCTCAAGTTCCTCGTTAAAGAACTGCAAGAAGAGACTCAGCTGGCTAGCAACCAACTGTACGAGATGGATCAGAAATACAGTACCCTCAATGCTGCCCACTCTGCTGCTCTGGATAAACACGAAGTGTGTATCGGCCATGTAAAAAAATGTCGACATCACCTAGTGAACACTCTTCAAGGGACCCTGAAGAAGGAAAATTTACGATTCCATATGGATCAACTTAACGAGGACTACAAGAGGAATGCTGAGTTGCATGTGATCTGGTGGACTCAAGTTCCTCGTTAAAGAACTGCAAGAAGAGACTCAGCTGGCTAGCAACCAACTGTACGAGATGGATCAGAAATACAGTACCCTCAATGCTGCCCACTCTGCTGCTCTGGATAAAACACGAAGTGTGTATTGGCCATGTAAAAAAATGTCAAACATCACCTGGTGAACACTCTTCAGGGACCCTGAAGAAGGAAAATTTACCACCCAATATGGATCAACTTAATGACGACTACAAGAAACTTAAGCTAGACACCGACAAATCTATCAGAGTCATCCAACTAGAGATAGACGACCTCAATCCCACCTCAAAAACGTAGAGTATAATAATCGGCTGGGATAGAAGTGAAAATTCTTAAAGCTCAGAATGAGGAGCTAAGGAAAGAGACCCGCGGTAGTTACTGGCCGGTCCAATACCCAGTAATGGGTATCCTGTACGTCTTGGCAGTCATCAAAAAATTTTTTAGTGGTTACTCGATAAAAACCCGTGCAACGTTATGAACCTACTGCATCCCCGGGAATACCAAGTGAATATAATGTGAGCCCATGGAAACCCCACATGGAGGAAATTTTGAGTGCAGCCCAAGTGAAGAAAGTTTATGCAAATCAATCCATGAGATCAAATGGAATTCGATCGAGAAAACGAAACATGCAGACCAAGCACGAGAAGAAATAAGACTGATTGGTTGTCTCCCTGTGACAGATAAAGGACCAGAGGTCCATATAAACGGTGATTTATTCCCATGGAATAAAGTCACTTTGTCTGACCTTTTTGGGTTATCCCAGGTTATCTACCACATGCTGCTATGTATGGGTAATCTATGCAAAATATTTATGTATCCTGAATAAACTTACCCCAATTGAAATGTGCTGGTCTCCCAAAAGTGTCAGACCTCATTTCAAATTCTGATATTTTTTTTTATTTGAAGCCACTAAACGCACCAGATATATTTAGGGCACTTTGGGGCGATCCCGAGCAAGGTATCCCCGTCTTCCATAAGCCCAGCCTCCTCTACCGCAATGCACGCAAAAGAAATACTGGAGGGTAGTCATAATATTCCACCGTAGCTAAATATAACTATGTACAAGTGTATGTTTGTAAGTATGAATTTCTGTACATATGTGTACTTTCATATGAATACAGTAGTCTAGTGGATAGAGTGATGCATACTTTGACCTGTTCTCACAGGGCTGGGCATGGCGATGCGGGATCAAATCCTGGGTAGCCGCAGTTTTTGTTAATGATTCCCAAAAACACTTGTTTTGTGATTTAATATAAATGTTGTGCCGAATAAGTAAAACTTGCTATTTTGGCTTAAATAGCAATGCTCTTCTTGCCGAATAAGGCAAGTGAAAATTTGTGTATGCAATAATTTCGCAAAAATCAATTCTGAACCTAACGAAAAAAATATATTTCAATGTGGTTTGTTTATTTTTAAACTATTGCAAACTTATCCAAAATATTATTTAGTTGGATTAGGCTAAATTAGCTGCACTTGTTATAATAACATTAGGCAAATTTCTCTCAAGGTTCTATTGGTAAAAAATTAATTTTTTCTAAACATAATTGTAAAATATATCTTGAAATGTATAAGAGAAAATTTTAGAAAAGACCTAAATTTTTAAAAGAGTTCTTAAAATAATTGACCAGTTTTACGTATTCGGCACACACACACATTTATATATATAATATTATATTATATATATATATATATATTATATATTTTATAATATATATATGTCGTGCCGAATAGGCAGAACTTGCGATCTTTTGGCTTAAATAGCAACGTCATCTTGCCATTTAAGACAAGTGAAAATTTGTTTTATGCAATAATTTCGCCAAAATTTATTCTGAACCTAACGAAAAAAAATATATTTCACTGTGTTTGTTTAGTATTAAATTACTGTAACAAATCTAAAATATATATAGTTGGGTTAGGCTAAAATAAATTGTCTTGTTATAATAAGGTTAGGTAAGTTTTTTTAAGTTCTTTTGGTGCAAAATTATAAGTTTTTGCATTAACATTAATGAAAAAAATATATCTTTAAAAAATATCAGAGAAATTTTAGAAAGGACCCTTTAAATTTTTTAAAAGAGTTATTGCTAAAATTGACCAATTTTACATATTCGGCACGACATATTATTTATATATATATTATATATATAAAATTTATTTAATATATATATATATATATATATATAAAAATATTATATATATATTTATATATATATTTATATATATATATATATATAATATATATATACGTGTATATAAATGCTGAGTTGCATGCTGATCTGGTGGACCTCAAGTTCCCCGTTAAAGAACTGCAAGAAGGGGACTCAGCTGGCTAGCAACCAACTGTACGAGATGGATCAGAAATACAGTACCCTCAATGCTGCCCCCTCTGCTGCTCTGGATAAACACGAAGTGTGTATCGGCCATGTAAAAAATGTCGACATAACCCAGTGAACACTCTTCAAGGGACCTGAAGGGAAAGGGAAAATTTACGATTCCATATGGATCAACTTAACGAGGATCAAGAGGAAAGCTGAGTTGCATTTCTGATTTTGGTGGACCTCAAGTTCCTCATTAAGAACTGCAAGAAGAGACTCGTGGCTAGCAACCAACTGTACGAGATGGATCAGAATTACAGTACCCTCAATGCTGCCCACTCTGCTGCTCTGGATAAACACGAAGTGTGTATTGGCCATGTAAAAAAATGTCGACATCACCTGGTGAACACTCTTCAGGGGACCCTGAAGAAGGAAAATTTACCACCCAATATGGATCAACTTAATGACGACTACAAGAAACTTAAGCTAGACACCGACAAATCTATCAGAGTCATCCAACTAGAGATAGACGACCTCACATCCCACCTCAAAAACGTAGAGTATAAATACATTCAGGCTGGGATAGAAGTGAAAATTCTTAAAGCTCAGAATGAGGAGCTAAGGAAAGAGATCCGCGGTAGTTACTGGCCGGTCCAATACCCAGTAATGGGTATCCTGTACGTCTTGGCAGTCATCAAAATTTTGTAGTGGTTACTCGATAAACCAGTGCAACGTTATGAACCTATGCATCCCAGGGAATACCAAGTGAATATAATGTGAGCCGATGGACCCCACATGGAGGAAATTATGAGTGCAGCCCAAGTGAAGAAAGTTATGCAGTCAATCCATGAGATCAAATGGAATTCGATCGAGAAACGAAACATGCAGACCAAGCACGAGAAGAAATAAGACTGATTGGTTGTCTCCCTGTGACAGATAAAGGACCAGAGGTCCCATATAAACGGTGATTTATCTCCCAATGGAAATAAGTCACTTTGTCTGACCTTTTTGGGTTATCCCAGGTTATCTTCAACACATGCTGCTATGTATGATAATCTATGCAACTATATTTATGTATACCTGAATAAACTTACCCAATTGAAATGTGCTGGTCTCCCAGAGTGTCAGACCTCATTTCAAATTCTGATATTTTTTTTTATTTGAAGCACTAAACGCCCGTATTTTGGTCCTGCGCGACCCGAGCAAAGGTTCCCCGTCTTCCCTAAACCAGCCTCCTCTACCCCCAATGCAAACAAAAGAAATATGGAGGGTAGTCAAATATTCCCCCGTGCTAAAAAAACTATTAAGGTATGTTTGGTAATAGAATTTCTGTACTATGTTACTTTTTATGAATACAGTAGTTAGTGGATAGAGTGATGCATACTTTGACCTGTTCTCACAGGGCTGGGCATGGGGATGCGGGGATCAAATCCCCGGGTAGGGGCAGTTCTGTTAATGATTCAAAATCCTTGTTTTGTGATTTTTATAAAAGTTGTGCGAAAAAAGTAAAACGCTATTTGGCTTAAATGCAATGCTCTTCTTGCGAAAAAAGGGAAGTGAAAATTTGTGTATGCAATAATTTTTGCAAAAAAACATTCTGAACCTAACGAAAAAATATTTTTCAATGTGTTTTTTTATTTTTAAACTATTGCAAAATTATCCAAAATATTTTAGTTGGATTGGTAAATTAAGCTGCACTTGTTATAAAACATTAGGCAATTCTCTAAAGGGTTTTATTGGTAAAAAATTAATTTTTTTATAAATAATTGTAAAAATATATTTGAAATGTATAAGAGAAAATTTTTTAAAAAAACCTAATTTAAAAAAGGTTTTAATAATTGACCCCTTTTACGTATTCGGCAACACACACATATATATATTATATATATATATTATATTATATATATATTTATATTATTTATATTAAAAATGTCGTGCCCGTTTTGGGAGAACTTGCGATCTTGGCTTAAATAGAAAAGCTCATCTTTCCATATAAGACAAGTGAAAATTTGTGTATGCAATAATTTCGCCAAAATCATTTTGAACAAAAAAAAAAATTATTTCACTGTGTTTGTTTAGTATTAAATTTACTGTAAACAAATCAAAAAATATATATAGTTGGGTTAGGCTAAAATAAATTGCTCTTGTTATAATAAGGTTAGGTAAGTTTTCTAAGT